AAAGGGCTGTACAGTTACTTCCCACTCCCTGCCTTAAACTTGGGAGAGGAGCACTCAGGGCTGGCCCCACAAGGGTCTCGTGGCTTTTTTTCTCACAGAAGAGGTCAGCAATAATGTCACTGTGGACCCAGTCTCCCTCCTCCACCCCACACGCTGAAGCAGTAGCTTCTGGGCCAAAGGTCAGGGTGGGCGGGGGCCTGGGAATACAGCCTGTAGAGGCTGCTTACTCACTTGTGTCTTAAATTAAAAGTGACAGAGGAAACCACAGAGGCTGTGTGTATACATGTGTGAATGGAGGAGGTGGGGGAACACAACATGCTTAGCCCTGTCCACAAACAGGAGCAATGGATGATGGTCCAGGCTCCCAGAGGACATATCTAGCTCTCTGATCCCAGTAGAGTAGCGCCCCTAGGAAGGCTGCTGGGATCATGAAAGAAGAGGGATTAGCTGAAACAGATTTAAAAAAAAAACATGAAGGGAGACATGACTTTATTAGAAAAATAAAAAACAACTGACGTGATGGGTTAGTCTTCAGCGGATGCCTTGGTGGATGAGGCTGCTTTTGGCTGCACTGGCCTTCTCCCGCTCCCGCCGCCGTGCAGGGTCCAACTCAAAACAGCGCCATAGCCTCAGGGTTTCATCTGCTGCTGCGGATGCCACTGTGGCCCCATCTGGGCTCATGGTCAGACTCAGGACCCGGGATGTGTGACCTGGAGCAAATGAGAACAGTACATACGAATGTTGATGCAGCCATAGCCCTCCCATAAAGGAGGCACATGCCTCCCTTTTTTTCTTTCTTTTTTTTTTTTGAGACGGAGCCTTGCTCTGTTGCCCAGGCTGGAGTGCAGTGGCACGATCTGGGCTCAATGCAAGCTCCGCCTCCCAGGTTCACGCCATTCTCCTGCCTCAGCCTCATAAGTAGCTGGGACTACAGGCGCCCGCCAGCATGCCTGGCTTTTTTTGCATTTTTAATAGAGATGGGGTTTCACTGTGTTAGCCAAGATGGCCTCTATCTCCTCACCTCATGATCTGCCCGCCTTGGCCTCCCAAAGTGCTGGGATTACAGGTGTGAGCCACCACGCCTGGCCTCCTCTCTTTTTTCAATGGTGTTACTGAGATATAATTCACATACCATAAAATGCATCCTTTTAAAGTGTACGGTTTAGTGGTTTTTAGTATATTCACAAAATTGTACAACTGTTAAAACTAATTCTAAGACATTTTCAACACTTCCCATTACCCTCTCTCCTCAGCCCCTGGCAACTATTAATGTGTTTTTTCTGTGGATTTGCCTATTCTGGACATTTCAGTCATACATTATGTGGCCTTTTATGTCTGGCTTTTTACCTAGCCACTTACCTTTGAGTTCAGCCACCTTGGCCATGGTTGGGTACTTCCAAATAACCAGCTGGTTCTGTGCAAAGCCATGGCCTGAGATGAGCTCCTTGTAGTGGGGAGACCAGAGGATGGAGCACACCTGTGGAGAGGAGCTGGTGTGGGCATGACATATAGCCAAGGCTACTTAAGTCAGAACTGAGCCCATTCTAGTGTTAGGCACCCTGCCACGTGCTCCAGACTCAGAGTTGAATGATCACAGTCCATACAAATGTTCCTTGAGAGGCAAATTATAGACACTCCCTGATGTAACCATTTTTTAACTTTACAATGGGTTTACTGGGACTTAAATTGGGGAGTGTCTGTCTTACCCATTGTATAGATGAGGAATCAACCAGAAGGAAGTTCAATAGGTTGCCAAAGGTCACATTCAAGTTTAGCAGATGATGGAGCCAGAATTTTAACTTGGGCAGTCTGGCTCTAGAGTCCATATCTACAGTGAAGGCTGAATGTGAGGCGAGTGGAAGGAGAGAGCCTCAAGCATCTTTCTAATGGATTTGGATTATATGCCATAGGTGATGAGAAGCCATCACAGGTTTAAGAACAGTACAGTGTAACAAACCACAGCATGGAGGATGCATTGCAGGAGGTAACAAAGAATGCTTGACACCAATGAGGAAGCCATTGTAGTGGGCCTCCACTGGGAAGGATGAGGCTGAGGGGAGGGGACAGATGTCAATGATATTTTAAGGTAAAACTGATAGATCCTGGTGAGGAGGATGAAAAATTCTAGGAGGTTTTTCAGATTTCTGAGCAGGTTCTGCCATTCCAAAGCAATGTGACAGGAAGGAACATTTCAGGGAGGCAAGGGGAAGTGAAAAGGTTAATTTGGGACAGATTAAGGTAGTAGTGCTTATAGGACATGGGATGGGAGATAGCCACAGACTGCTGGAAATGAAGCTCATGAGTTAGAAGTTTGGGAATCACCAAGGCACAGAGTTGGTGAAGACATTGGAATGGATGCACTCTCGATGTGGATGCCCCGTAAGAATGCATGTGGGAGAGGCAGGAACAGGCAAAAGATTACCTGGGAATGGGCATCCACAGCACTCAGACAGGCCCCAGAGCACACGTTCCAGATGCGAATGTGTCGATCACTGGTGCCACCTCCTGTTGCCAGGACATTGGACTGCCAGGGACACCATGCTACAGCCTAGATGGGATAAAGGTGGGGTCAGCAGGTACTAGAGCTAGACAAGGAGCTCTGGGGGTCACAGATTAACCCAGTCCAATCCTACCATCCCTTCTCCCCTTAACAGTCCCCAGGTTATAGGTGAGGGTCTGCAGAGGCTTCAGCCCAACCCTACTCACCTTGACAGCCCCTTGATGCTGGGTGAATGTCTGCAAAGGAACCCAGCCACCCTCTCCAGGAGCACTAGGCCACACATTGACCAAGTTATCATTGCCACCACTGGCCAAATGTCGTCCATCTGGGGCCCAGCGCAGCCCACACACTTCCTGGCTGTGGCCACTCAGTGTAGCCACATGGTGTTCTGCTACCCGAACATCATGGTGGTGGATGTGGCCAGAACGTGAACCACTGGAGGAGGAAAGAAGGGAATCAGGTTCTGTGGCAGCACCAAATGCAAGCAAGCCAGAGGTGGTTCAGTTCAGGGGTGTACAGTCAAGGGTAGGGTGGGCAAATATCAGACTACCATAGACCAACAAAAACCACTGACCTGGAGAGGATATAGCTGTTCCAGCTTAGGGAGCCCACTCGGGCAGAGTGACTGGTCATATTTCGAAGCCGTTTCTGCTGCTGCACATCCCATAGCTAGAGAGAGAAGCCCACTAGGATCAGAAATTGGGACTTGGCATTAATATCCTCCAGCTGTGCAAGCCTATTGGGACTGGTGTGAATGGCAGCACAGGACATGTCTCACCTGCACCTCAGCACTGCTGGTGCCCACAGCCAAGTAGTTGCCCTCTTTGATCCAGGCCACAGAGGATACATATTCCCCAGGCTGCTCCATTTGCAAAAGCTGCAGGATGTCACCAGAGCTTGCGCTCCACAGGTACACACTGTTGTCCAGTGCCACGGCCAGTACATTCCCAGAGCTCCAATCCACAAGGTTCAAGTCTGTCAGAGGCGGAGAGAAGAGCATGAGCTTCCTTGTTTGTGTGGTCCCAGGCCCTCTTTCTCCATCCATAAGGCAAGGATAAGGATGCACTTACAGTAGTCATTTCGGATTTCAGGGGCATCCAGGATGCGGTCTGGCAGGGAAGGAATGTAACGGCAGGTCTTCCGGCTGGAGCCAGGAGTGGCCTTTTGGCTGTAGAGTACTTTCAGTCTGTTCTGGTAACCTGTGGCAACAGAGTGGGTCCAGACGCTGGGAAAATCAACACCTCCCTTGCCCTCAGTCTTAGATAGGAAGAGCAGACAGATATCTGTGCTTAGCCCTGGAGATGAACTGACACCTCCCTCCAGGAACCAGGAACTTCGGGTCTTACCCTCTGGCGCATTTTGTGGTTTTCCACTGAGCCGAAGGATCTTGGCTTCCTCTACATCAAAACCGTTCAGGTTCAAAGCCCAGGCTTTCTGATGTTCCTGGCATAAAAGGTAGTGGAGAAGCAAGATGGTATTATCCAAAAAACAGTCGGGTCCCGTGCCTTAAGCCCCTCTGGGACACATACCTTCTTGGTGGGCGTCTGGCTGTTTTCAGGCTGGTTCTCCTTGCTCAGGAGGAAGCTGGCCACCTCCATCTGGGCAGCACTGCGATGGGGGATATAGCGGTCACCGCCAGGTTTGCTAGGAGTGGTCTGAACCTTGGAACTGGATTTGCCTGGGGCGGAGAAAGAGAAGACAGTCTGACCAGGCTCCCGGGGGAGAAAGTATGAAGGCTGCTCTCACCCAGTCCCTTTGGCACCTCACTGACCAGGAGTTCGGCCCGGAGTTCTGCCGGCGCTGTGGGATCGGTTGGCGGCCCGCATGGGTGAGGGGGCCGGGCCTGAGGCTTCCTTGGCTTTGCGCTGCCAGCGCGCAGGGGGTGCATTGGGGATGGGTGCATCCAGCTGAAGCAGCGAGTGCAGGTCACTCTCGAACGCGAATTGTGCCATGGGAACGCCCGCAGCGGGAGGGGTCCTTGCAGTTGGTGCCTGCGGAGCCCTGGAGGAAAAGAGGCGACGGTGCTCAGGGGACAGCAAAGGACCCCTTCGCTCCTGGCCGGCCACACAATCAGGGCCACCCTCGGCTGCTGCCCCTTCTGGCCTAGCACCCCCTCCCCCTGGCCACGACCCGAACCAGGCTCAGCCCCGCCGCCTCTCACCTTGCCCTCCCGAGCAAGTTGCAGTTCCGACCGGCTTTAACACGCCTCGCTTACGCCTCTTAAACTCTCCGCTCCGAGCGCCCATTGGCTCCTTCAAAACCCAACCGTCGCAACCGTTGCCCTCGCCCATTGGCCTCTCCGGCGAAGGGGGCGGGCCTTCCGGGGCAAGTCTCAGCTATCACGAGAGTCCAGCCGCGGAGCGCGATTTGAAGGGTGAGAAAGGGGCTGGGAGCCGGCCCCAGAGGACTGGTGCTGGAAAGCGGGCGGGGCGGGCCCGGGGCTGGCCCGGGGCGGGCGTGCTCTGCCTCAGCGTCCTCGAGTCGTCTCGATTTGTTCCTCTGCGTCCCCTCTACCGCCGCGAGCTCGGAATGTCTGGCCCCCCGTGCTTCAGGGTCCGAGAGCCTGCAGAAGTTCACACTTAAATCCTAAACGAAGGTCATGTTTATGATGCAGAACTCGGTGCAGAACCCGATGGAGGTGACCAAGGCGCTTGAGCTGTTCCTAGAAGGGAAAGGAGAGCGGGCGGCAGCGGGACAGGGGACGGAATTGGGAAGCTAGGGAGCAGGAAGAAGGCCAGAGCTACTTAGGGTACATTCCACTTTTGCTAGGCGCCGGGTAGGAACCCTGCTAGAAAGGAAGTAACGTGTGTTTGTCTTGTTTGCTGCTGTTGTTACAAACAGGGAAAATGAGTTTGAAAAGGGTGAATGAATTCCTTAAGGTCAGGAAAAAGGATCGGTATTCAAACCTGCCTATCTGGAAGATAAGCTTAGACTGCCCTACAGGAGGCACTGTGGCTTACCCCCTTGGGGCTTTAAAGAGATGTTGAGAACCTTAGAGATCCGTTAGTCTAATCTGTGCGTGGTGCACCCTCCCCACCCCAACAACAAATCCTTATTTTACAGATGGAGAAACCGAGGCCCAGGGAAGGGATGTGCCCGAGGTCATACAAAGAAGTTAGTGGGAATCCAGGTCTGACTCCATTCAGTCCAGTGCTCTAATAATGACTTGAGTAAATTGTATGAATGTGCTCAGAGGTGGAGCAGCAATCATAAAAATAATAATGGTACCATTTATGGACCATCTAACTGCTGTGTTAAAACAGTTTACAGGCCGGGCGCGGTGGCTCACGCCTGTAATCCCAGCACTTTGGGAGGCCGAGGCGGGTGGAACACGAGGTCAGGAGATCGAGACCATCCTGGCTAACACGGTGAAGCCCCGTCTCTACTAAAAATACAAAAAATTAGCCGGGCGTGGTGGCGGGCGCCTGTAGTCCCAGCTACTCCGGAGGCTGAGGCAGGAGAATGGCGTAAACCTGGGAGGCGGAGCTTGCAGTGAGCCGAGATAGCACCACTGCACTCCAGCGTGGGCAACAGAGGGAGACTCTGTCTCAAAAAAAAAAAAAAAAAGTTTACATACATAATCGAGTTCAATCCTTAATCCCAATAAGGCAGATAGATACCCTATCTTCCCTTTACAGAAAAAAGAAACTGGGTCAGAAAGATTAGAAACTTGCCCAAAGGCTTGCAGCCAATAATAAGTAGGAGAGCCCAGGATTCAAACTATCTGACTAATCCCTGCAATCCTAACAATACGCTATACTGTCCCAGAAAGAGGCTGGAAAAATCAAGTTTTCAGTCATTAGCCTAAAGTCCACTCTGATGCTGACAGATAATGTTATTATCTTTGACTTGAAGACTTTGCATTCTCTATTTCTAATTACCTTGGAAAATGAGGAATTGGATATACTTAGGTTAGAGGTGGGGAGTTCCCAGAAAACATAGAAAAGTTTGTCTCATGTCAAGTTGGTCAGGGTCTTAAATGTCAAGCTAAGGACTTTGGACTTTATCTGCTAGGCATTGTGGAACCTGTGGGGTTTCTGTGTAGGGAAGGACCAAATAAAACATATCTGAGCGGGGGAATATGGCAATAATTTGCAACTTCTGGACTAATGGTAGCTGTAGAGAGGGATAAAGGGTATAACCTCAGGGAATTTGTACATTTAAAAATAAAGGATTTGGGCCGGTGTGGTGGTTCACTCCTGTAATCCCAGCACTTTGGGAGGCTGAGGCGGGCAGATCACTTGAGGTCAGTAGTTCAAGACCAGTCTGGCCAATGTGGCGAAACCCTGTGTCTACTAAAAGTACAAAATTAGCCAGGTGCAGTGGTGCATGCCTGTAATCCCAGCTACTCGGGAGACAGAGGCAGGGGAATCGCTTGAACCTGGGAGGCGGAGGTTGTAGTGAGCGAGATCACGCCACTGCACTCTAGCCTGGGTGACAGAGGGAGATTTTGTCTCAGAATAATAGTAATAAAGGAATGAATGAAGGCAATCGAAATTATCCAGACATGGATCTTGAAGTGGGAGATACTCTAATATGATGTAAAGTAGTCAAGTGAAATGATGACAGAAGGGGTCAGATTTGTCCATTGAAAATCAAATCACCGATGACTTTGGAGAGAGCAGGATCAGGAAAGTGGGTGGCCTGAGATCCATTTTGGAGGAGTTGCAGAAAGAATGAAATAGGGAGAACAGGAAGCCGGCAAGCAGAGGCGACTTGTGGAGCCCATCCCCTGATATCCTCTGTATTCGTTTGCTAAAGTTACTGTAATAAAGTACCACAAACTGGCTTAAAATGTACCACAAACTGACTTAAATGACAGAAATTGGCTGTCTCACAATTCTGGAGGCTGGAAGTTCCAGATCAAGGTGTCATGAGAGTCGTGTGAGAACTGTGAGGAAGAATCTGTTCCATGCCTCTCCCCTGGCTTCTGGTGGTGGTTTGCCAGCAATCTTTGTCATTCCTTGGCTTGTAGAAGAATCACCCTGTTCTCTGCCTTCATCTTCACTTGGCTTTCTTTGTGTATGTGTGTCTAATTTTCTCTTTTTATAAGAATACCAATCACATTGAATTAGGGCCCTGACCTCATCTTAACTAATTATATCTGCAATGACCCTATTTCCTAATAAAGTGATATTTGACGTACTGGGAGTTAAGACTTCAACATCTGGCTGGGTGTGGTGGCTTACACTTGTAATCCCAGCACTTTGGAAGGCCAAGGCCGGAGGACTGCTTGAGCCCAAGAGTTAGGGACCAGTCTGGGCAACATAGTATCAAACTGTCTCTAAAAAAATACAGAAAACAGGCCTGTGAGGTGGCTCATGCCTGTAATCCCAGCATTTTGGGTGGCTGAGGCGGGCAGATCACCAGATCAGGAGATTGAGACCATCCTAGCTAACGCGGTGAAACCCCGTCCTACTAAAAATATTTTAAAAATTAGCCGGGCGTGGTGGTGGGTGCCTGTCGTCCCAGCTACTTGGGAGGCTGAGGCAGGAGAATGGCATGAACCCAGGAGGCTGAGCTTGCAGTAGGCTGAGATCACGCCACTGCACTCCAGCCTGGGTGACAGAGCGAGACTCCATCTAAAAACAACAACAACAACAACAAAAGAAAACATTAGCCAAGTTGGTGGTGCACACCTGTAAGTCCAGTAGTCCCAGCTACTTGGGAGGCTGAGGTGGGAGAGTTGCTTGAGACCCAGAGTTTGAGGCTGCAGTGAGCCATGACCACACCACTGCATTCCAGCAGTGCATTCCAGCAGAGACAGAGTGAAGACCCTTCTCAAAAAAAAAAAAAATAAAGACTTTTGTCTTTTTTTGTGGTGTGGTCTTGGCTCACTGTAATCTCTGCCTCCCAGTTTCAAGTGATTTTGTGCCTCAGCCTCCCAAGTAGCTGGGATTACAGGTGTGTGCCACTGCGCCCAGCCAAAAAAAAAAAAAAAAAAAAAAGAAGAAGACTTTAACATGTGAATTTGAGGGAGAGGAGAAGAATATCATTCAATCCATAATATCCTCCTATTGTTGGAACCCAAGCAGAAACCAAAGCCCAAGAGAATGCTTTGATTTTGATGCAGGCCATATGAATCAGCCTTGCTAAGCATAGGACAAGATGGAGAACAATGGAGAATAGGTCTGGGTGGGACAAATGGATGACATCCAGTATACCCAATCTCCATAATTCCTCCCCAGCCATGTGAAAGGCTCTGACTTTACTCCTAGGGACCCAAGACTGGAATGGGAGGAGCATGAAATTGAGCTGTCTATCCCCCTGGCTCTCTCATTGCCACCTGCCCAGAGGCTGGCCGCATCCCTCCACCAAAGAAAGGCCATGACTCCTTCCAGGCAGCCCTGTCTTACACCTACTCTCTGGTGATCTGGGAACCACTCCCTCCCTTACCCCTTGATGCCTAGGGCTGGTGCCAGCACCTTGTTGTTGTTAACCTCAGAGGCACTTGCACTGTTCCTTGATGTTTTTCCCAAATCTTGCCCTCATCTTTGTAAATACTGTTTGCCCTTTATTACACTCTCATCATATTACCCAATTTGAGTGTGTCATCTATTTCTGCCAAGACCCTGACTGATACAGTGGGTATGTTTGGAGCCAACAAAAAACAACAATGACAACAAAACCATTTGTTTGAGAATCAGAATGTGTTAGGAGAGTCCATAACCAGAGCGGTCTGAGCACATTTACTACTGCCTGTGAATGGTTTAGAGGATGAGAACAGCTGGCATGGGATTCAGGTAACCTTGCCCAGAAAGATTTCATTCATTTAGAGAAAATTTATTGAAGGCCTACTATCATGCACCAAGCACTACTCTAGGTGCTGGGGGAAAAGGACAAATAAATCATGGTCCTTTCCCTCAAGGAGCTCACAATCTAGTAGCAGGGGACAGACATGTAAACAGTTAGTTGCATAAAGCATCACAGTGCTGTAGTAGACGTCTGAGCTAGAGATAAGAACTTTGGAATGGTCAACATATAGTAAAGGCAGAGAATAGATGGGATTGGAGACTCTGTTAAGAAATGGAATCTTGAAAGACTGTAATAATTGGAAGAAATGCTAGAAGAGAGTAAGAAGGAATAATTACAACAGTAGTTCAGATATATTAATCATTTACTATGTCCTAGGTACTGTGCTTTACTTAGATTACCTCAATCCTCGTCACAACTCTGTGGGGTGCTGTTATTATCCCTGTTTTATAGATGAAAAAACTAAGGCTCAAAGACATTAAGTTATGTGCCCAAGGTTGCACAGCTAGCACATGTGAAGGACAGGAATTCAATCCAGCTCTGATTCTAGATCTACTTTATTCTCTTAACTACTAGTACACTCAGCTGGGTGCAGTGGCTCATGCCTGTAATCCCATTACTTTGGGAGGCCAAGGTGGGTGGATCACCCGAGGTTAGGAGTTCAAGAGCAGCCTGGGCAACATGGCAAAACCCTGTCTCTACTAAAAATACGAAAATTAGCTGGGGCCGGGCGCAGTGGGTCACACCTGTAATCCCACCACTTTGGGAGGCTGAGGCAGGCGGATCATGAGGTCAGGATATTGAGAGCATCCTGGCCAACGTGGCAAAACCCCATCTCTACTAAAAATATAAAAAAATTAGTCAGGTGTGGTGGCAGGCACCTGTATCCCGGCTACTTGGGGGGCTGAGGCAGAACTGCTTGAATCTGGGAGGCGGAGATTGCAGTGAGCCGAGATCGCGCCACTGCACCCCAGTCTGGTGACAGAGTGAGACTCCGCCTCGAAAAAAAAAAAATTAGCTGTGTATGGTGATGTGCACTTGTAATCCCAACTACTAGGGAGGCTGAGACACAAGAATCGCTTGAACCCAGGAGGTGGAGGTTGCAGTGAGCTGAGATTGCGCCATTGCACTCCAGCCTGGGTGACAGAGTGAGACCCTGTCTCAAACAAACAAATTTAAAAAACTACTAGTCTACTCAAAGAGGCAGGACCAAGGTAGGAAAGAATTTAAAGGAAAAGTGAGTAGTCAGCCATGACAAATCTCACAGAGAGATCAAAGGAACTGATGATTAACGAGATCCTTTGGATCTTGGAATTCGAAGATTTGAGGTGCACTTTGCCTGGGTAGTTTTACTAGCAAAGTGTAGTAGGGGAACTAATTGAAGTAGTCTGAAGAGTAAATGGGGAGTGTGGGGAAGTGAAGGCTTGTTTTCAAGGTGTTTGGCATTAAGGAGGAGAGAGAAAGTAAAAGAAGAGCTTAGTGAAATGAGCCTGCCTGTGGAGAAAGGGTCCTGGTTTTATGTCAGCAGCAGTAGAGTAAGATCAGTGCTATGAAGCCTAATTGTGAGGGCAGACAGAGGGGGATGAAGGTGAGGTCTGGGGTACTTGTGTTGTGGGGGTAGGGTAGGGAAGTTCACAGAGAAGTCTTGAGGGTTTAGCTCCGTCCAGGGAACTGGGAGTGAGGAGCCTCAAGGCTATCCTCAAGGCTGCTGCCAATAGCTTAGTGGTAGGTAGGAATGGTTGGCAATGTGAGTGGTACAGCAGGACCCTGACTCAGCCATGGGTGGGCACACAGACAGGGGCATGGTCCCCAGGCAAGAAGGCTGCAATCTTCGGTAGTCCATCTGGGACTGGGAGGAACACAGGGGCAAAGGAGTCCTCTCTGAGGACTTGGGGAGGATTTCAAGGAGGCTGGGTTCCACTTCTTCACAGGTATCTGAGACTGTGGCCTTGGGCTGGGAGAGATGAGGAGAGGCATTGGATTAGAGCAGATCCTGTGGGAGGAGGGGCTGGACTGTACAGGAAGGAGAAGGGCTGGGGTAGTGCTGGGGTAGTGCCTGGGGATGGCACGCTGGTAGGGCAAGGACCTTGAACAAGTTGTGTTGTTGGGGCAAAGATCCAGTACCAGGCAGGGTTGGTGGTGGACACAGGGGAGGGAACCTCACTCACCGGACTCAGGGCTGCAGTGTCCCTAAGGTACTGGCCTAGGACTCGGTGCAGATCTGGAAGTGAGGGCCACAGGGCATGCCTCAGTCTCCTGGGGGAGAAGAGAAGCAGACTGAGCCATGGCAGTGAATTGGTGTGGAGGAGGAGAGCAGTTGGGGTGGGGGAGCAGTGAGGCCAGGGAGTAAGACTTGGAGAGATAACAGCATGGTCAAGGCAATAAAGTCAGGCAGGGGAGTAGAGTAAGAAGAAAACTTCAGGTAGGGGAGGGAAGTCAGTGGTGGGCAGGTTCAACAAAGGGTGCTGCAGTTTCCTCAAACATTCCAATGTTTGTTCTGTCTGGAACACTGGATTCATTCCCTCACCTCATTGTGGGCCTCTGTTCAAATGTCATCCCTGACTACCCTGCCTGAAACACAGTAGTCCCCCTTTATCTGCAGGGGATATGTTTCAAGACTCCCAGCAGATGTTTTTTCTATACGTACATACCTATGATAAAGTTTATAAATTAGGCACAGTAAGAGATTAACAATGACTAATAATAAAATAGAACAAGCATAGTAATGTGCCAACATCACTACTCTTGTTCTTTGGGGCCATTATTAACTAAAATAAGGGTTACTTGAACACAGCACTGCAATACCTCAGCGAGTCAATCTGATAAGCAAGACAGCTGCTAAGTGACTATGCGGCAGAGAGCATATACAGCGTGGAGATGCTGGACAAAGGGATGATTTACATCCTGGGTGAGACAGAGCGGCATGGCAAGAGATTTCATCATGTTACTTACAATTTAAAATACGTGAATTGTTTATTTCTGGAATTTTCCATTTAATTTTTTTCGGACCTTAATTGACCGCGTGTAACTGAAACCACAAAAAGTGAAACTGTGGATAAGAGGGGACCACTGTAGTACCACTTCCTTTCCCCATGACAGGCTATCTCCTGCTGTACTTCATTTTTCTTTATAGCACTTGACTTGTTGTACATTTATTGTATTGTTATATATATTTCTTTTTGTCTATCTCACCCTACTAGAACATATGGTCCCTGAGAACAGAGAGTTTGTCTATTTATTCACTCCTATATTTCTAGGGTGTAGAATAGTGTCTGACCCGTAGTATGTACTCAGTAAATTAGCTGAATGAATGAATGAATGAATGAATGAATAAAACCAGTGGAGCTTATTAGTAAGTTATCTGGGAAGAATATGGATTAAGGTGTGTTGGAGGAACCTCAATTCTTTTTTTTTTGAGACGGAGTCTTGCTCTGTCACCCAGGCTGCAGTGTAGTGGCACCTTCTCGGCTCACTGCAAGCTCCGCCTCTCAGGTTCACGTCATTCTCTTGCCTCAGCCTCTCCAGTAGCTGGGACTACAGGCACCCACCACCACACCCGTCTAGTTTTTTTGTATTTTTAGTAGAGACGGGGTTTCACCGTGTTAGCCAGGATGGTCTCGATCTCCTGACCTTGTGATCGCCTGCCTCGGCCTCCCAAAATGCTGGGATTACAGGCGTGAGCCACCGCGCCCGGCCAGAACCTCAATTCTTTAGCCTCATATTTCCATGTGGAGGGACGTCAGCAGAACATTTCAGGCTGCTTCAGTGACCTCACTCATATCTCTCCAGAGGAGGAGGTGTGACTTACCTGGTAAAGTGGGGAAAAGGAACTGAGTATGCCTTCTCAGCAGACCACCTCCTCCTACTTCTCCAACTTTTTTGTTGGATCTGGCTACCTTCATGGAGGCTACCTTTCAGTCTGCTCATACATATGAACAGATTAAAAGTTCAAAGAGAGGTATATTCAGAGGGAGATGGTAGCCCATGAGAGTGGCACCTGAACCAACCCAGGACCATCAAAAGACACCATCTGGAGGAGCTGACTTCTGAGCTAAGTCTTCAAGAAGCAGCAGATGAAGGACGGAGGTGGGATGCATTCTACCCTTCATGTTTATAGCCTCCAATGGCATTTCTCCTCAGCCTTCGTCTTCCCACATAAATGAGTCACTCATTAATAACATTTATTTAAGGGCCTGCTTTTTGGCAGGCACTGTGCTAAGGATTTAAAGATGACCAAGTAAGGTATAATAGGGAAGATATATAAAGAAATAAACACAGTAAAACACTACTGGTACTGTATTGGAGCACAAAGCAGCGGCCAAACGGGGGAGGGTCAGGAAAGGTTTCTTATGAGTTGGTGAAGAAAGTTATTTACAGATGAATGGGTTTAGTCAGACAGGGAGGCTATTTCAGGCAGAGGGGACATTATGTGCAAAGGCACTGAGAAGTAAAACCTGACTTGTGGAGAAAACCAGTTTGGAAAGGCTGATGCACAGGGTAGAAGAGGCTGAAGTGCTTGCTGGCAGGGGTCGATTTTGCAGAGCCTCGCTTGTCATCATAGGGAGCCTGGACTATATCCTGGGAGCTATTAAAGGGATTTAAGGAGGGAATTGATAGGTTCATGTGCGCATTTTAGAAAGATTATTCTGTTGGCTGTGTGAGGCTAGATCGGAGCGGGAAGAGGTTCTGTTTCAGTGAGTCAGGGCTAGAGAAAGGGGGCCATTGTTTGGACTAGGTTTAGGAGGTGGGACCTGATGGCCAGTTGGATGGGGGTGGAGTGGGCAGTTTGGCTGAAGGGTGGACGGTGGCCTAGTCGCCAAGGTGAGCAGCAGGAGGCGGGGCTGTTCGAGGTGTGCGGTATAGTGGGCGTGTTAGAGTGTAAGGAGTCGCGGCAAGTCCCAGAGGAGACGTGCAGGAAGCGGCGAAGCCGTAGGTGCGCACGGGCGGTGACCGGAGATCTAGGGTCACAGAGCGAACCGAGAATGCCTGTTTAGAGGCCTCCGGCTCCGCCCGGTCCACCACCAGTCTCCTGCCTGGCGGGGGTGGTACCTGTAGTGTGCAGGAAACTGCCACCTCAGCAGCAGCAGGCCCAGGACGGCGCTGAGGCCCAGCACTAGCAGCAGAGCGGTCACCAAGGAAATCCAGGCTAGGAGACAAAAAGGGTCAGACCTCGGCCCACCGGGCCTGAGCCCCACCCTCAGCCCGCCAGCCCGTGCTCTGGCCCCGCCCCTCGCCGCCCTGGGCACTGCGGGCACCCGCGCAGCCGTCGACCCGCGCGGCCAGGGCCCCGCCCCTCTCCGAGCCCCGCCCGTCCCGCCTCCGACGCCCCGTCCCTCCCGCACCCGGCGCCCAGTCCCTGGCGCAGGCGCTGTGCGGCTTTGGCGCGGCCGGGGCCTGCCTCACCGGTCTCGGTGGCGGTCTCCACCCTAGCTGGGTCCGACCACGAGCTCCAGGGACCTTGGTAGGTGGGGCCATTGAGCCTGGCGCGCAGCTGTAAACGGTAGCGAGATCGCGGGCGCAGCTCCAGGGTCCCTCCTCGGGCCCCGAGAGGCGGCTCCAGCACCTGCACAAAGAAGTGTGCGGTGGCCCGGCGTCGGGGCTTCGACAGCCGGGCGTCTGTTTGACCCAAATCCTACAGCTCCGAATCCCCAGGCTGTCGGAGATCCCCACAAAGAGCCCCACCGGCATAAAACACGCTTCCCAGCAGAAACAGGATAGAGCGCCCTAACCGAAAGCCTCTCCCCAAGAGGATCACGCTCTGCCTGAGAGAAAGGCGCCAGACCTCACCTCAGAGAGCTACGTATCCTAACACCAACACCCAGGTACACCCTCGGCAAGGATCCCGGTACACACGCACCCTGCCCTGTGCTCTCACAACTCCAGGTCGGGCGATGGACACCCCCAGAAACAGATATATTCAGAGTCACATAGACCATGCCACAAATAATACTCATGCTGCGGAGGATGCCAGATTTGCGTTAGGCGCTGGGGTACAAGCATCACGTGTACAAGCAGGAAGACAGCAAACATTTATGAACTGTGTGATACTCCAAACATTGGGTTAAGCAAGCACTGGGGAGAAAGCAATAAAACACCGTCTCTTACATGTCTAATGAGGGAGACCCAAACAGGTAAATAATCACAACAATTAATTAGTGCAAGGCACCATGGAAGTCCAGAGAAGCATTTAATGCTTGGTTTTGTGCCACAGAGTAGTTTAGTGTGCTAAAAGCCTGGATGACAAGGCTGGATGGTCACAGATGAGGCTAAGGCAATCCTGGTAGGAATTTGAGGACTGTTAGTACGTTATTGCTATCAACTTAGTTGTTGATGAGTAAGGGGAAGGGATAAGGGAAGAGCAAGAAGAGTCAAGGGTGCTTCCAGGCTTGGGTACTGGGTAAGTAGTGGTGCCATTGTCAGAGACAGGAAACAGAAGAGAAGTTAGTTTGAGGAAGATATACTATAGGGTTCCATTTTATAGAGTTCAACAACAATCCAAATGAATCAATGGTAATGTCAGGATGGTGATTACCTTTGGTGGCGGGGGATGTGGCGGGGCATTGGGAGCTTCTGAGGTGCTAGAAATAATTTATGTCTTGATCCTGGTTATGGTTACATGGATGTATACACATGTACAGACTATTTGTACACTTTGTTGTATGTAAGTTTTATCACAATAAAAAAGTAAAGCTTCAGGAGGAACAGGAGTTCCATTCTGGATAGACTGAGTCTGAAATGTCCAGGGGGAGGAGGTTTTGGTGGAACCATAAGATGTTGCACATAGTTGTATATATGTGTGGCAAATGAGAATAAAAGTTGACAAACTAATATTTAAGTAACGTATATTGGGCACTTTCCTTATGCCAGTATTTAGATATAGTATTTAATTTTTACTATAACTCCATAAGGTAGATAGCTTCATCCCCATTTCACCAATGAGGAAACAGACTTCAAATGTTTTGGTAATTTGTGGTTTGTAAATTCCTTTCCATATGGGAATTAGAATGGTAAAATTGTGATTGTAATGAAACCATGGAGTTGAAGCACTCACCTGGGGAGAAGATATTTTTTTTTATCAGAGGAGAAAAGAGCCTAGGATGAGACTCTAGGAAGCACAGCATTTTGTGGAAGGCTGGCAAGGAGGAGACAGGAGAGGAGAGTGAGAAAGTTCAGTCAGAGAGGTAGGAGGAAAATCGGGGAAGACTGATATCCCAAAGACAAAGGGAAGAGAAATGTTAAGTAGGAGTAGCCAGAAGTATCGGATGCTCAAGAGAGACTAAGATACCAGTTGAATCTGATAAACATAGATATACTAGCAGAGACTGGATACATAGACACTTTCACTCCTGCTAACAGCCATGGCCAACCCCAGGGATCCCCTGCGTAGTGAGGTCTGTGGGCGTTTGTTGCTTGACCATACCTTCCAGTCCTGATGGCCTTCTCCTGTGTATCGGAGTTGATAGCAGGTCTCTTGGGCTGCCCAGGATGATGGGTGCTGCCACTCCAATTCCAGATGCCCGCTGGAGATCTCCCTCCAGTGCAAGTTTGGGGTGGGGAGGCGCACTACAGGGATGTCAGCAGGGAGCAGCTTAAGTCCTTCTGTGTACGAGGCGTCGTGCCACCAGAACCATTGGTCAGAAGGGTCAGAGTTGGGGATCCTGGGCACAGGGTCAGATTCAGTGGGGCTGGGAACTATGTGGGAAGAATGGGGAAGAAAGTTCTTACCAGCCTGGTGGATCCAGAAAGGGGAGCCCAGGTAACTGTGAACAGCACCCAGGGCTGTGGTCACCTCCACAAGGATGTGAATAACGCTGTCATTTCGTGACTTGAAGTGGCAGCGAGAGAACTGTGGGGTCTGTAATCCTGGATTTGTTTTCTCTTCCTCTTCACAGTCCTCCCAGATGGGGTACCTAAGACCCAGCCCCACAGAGTCATTGAATCAGGCCTGCCCCAGAGACTAATCCCAAGGCTTCCCATCCCACAAGAATGATGGCCTGCAGGGATTATCATCTAACTCCTTCCTTCGAGGGGCCTCTAGAGCTTTCCCTCTGTCTTTATGCCATAATGTTTTCTTTTTTTTCTTTTTTTCCTGTATTCATTTGATCATTTGTTTGTTTTTGCTATTTTGCCATGATGTTTTCTGAAGTCAGCTTTGGTGTCTGGCCTCTTCCCTTTGAGGAAAGACGTAGCATGATATGTGAAAACAGCATGGGTTTTCACCAAGAGTTCAGGTCTTGGCTTACTTTTGTATAACTTTGGGCAAATTACTTGGTTTATTTCTGCTCCAGTTTCCTTCTATTTGTAAAATGGATTAATGATACCAACCTCACAGGATTGTTTCAAAGATTAAAGAACCCTCATCTTTCTGGAGAAAAATATCCTATATTTTTAACGTGTTCTCATACGTCATTCCTCCTACTCTCCCCTATGTGTTATTTTGCTATTAGATTATTACAGTAGTCTCCTAACTGGCTTTTCTGCTTTTGTTTTTTGCCACTACCTTCAAGTTGTTCTCCACATGGCTACCAGAATTTGTTTCCACAAATGTTGATGTGATAATGTCCAGAATATAATGTCACAAATCTATTGATTTTGATCTTTACCACTGCTATGTTAGATGAAGCCACTATTATTCCTTGCTTGGATTAAGGCAAATTTCTAACTGGTGATTCTGCTTCTACTCTTATTTATTTATTCACAGAGAAACATATCTTTTAAAAATGTAAATCAAATTGTCATCGTTTACTGCTTAAAATCCTTTAGTGGCTCTTCATCCCACTTTGAATAAAACCCAAACTCTTTACCAGGCCTATGGGAGTCTGTGATTTGGTTTCTCCTTGCCTCACCATTCTCATCTCTTATGATTCTCATGCCAGTTTATCACCCTTTATCCACACAGGCCTTCTTTCTGTGCCACAGATATGCCAAATGTGCTATCTTTGCACTTTGCCTTTGCCCTGGATTGCTCTGACTGCAGGTCTTCATGTGACTCATTCTTTCTTGCCATTTAGATCTCGGCTTATCTATCACCTCCCTGGTGAGGCTTTTCCTGGCCACTCAGTCTAAATTAGCAGTACCCACCCCGCCCACCCACCACACGCCCCCCTTTAGTCTCTATTATAACTTTGTTCCTTTATTTCTTTACTTACTTGTCTCCCCCTCCTTTTCCCCTCCCCTCTACTAATGTAAGCCCCAACAATGCTGGAACCCTTTCCATTTTATTTATTTATAAAAATGTTTTGAGACAGTCTTGCTTTGTTGCCCAGGCTGGAGTGCAGTGGTGCGATCTCAGCTCACTGCAGCCTCTGCCTCCTGGGTCCAGGCGATTCTCCTGCCTCAGCCTCCTGAGTAGCTGGGATTACAGGCACCTACCACCACACCTGGCTAATTTCTGTATTTTTAGTAGAGATGGGGTTTCACCATGTTGGCCAGGCTCATCTCGAACTCCTGACCTCAAGTGATCTGCTCACCCTGGCCTCCCAAAGTGCTGGGATTATAGGTGTGAGCCACTGAGCCTGGCCCCTTTTCCATTTTATTTGTTGTACTATTTATCCCCAGTGCCTTGTACAAAGTCACCCTCAATAATTCTTTATTGAACAACGGAATCATGTCTCCCTCTTGATTATAACCCCTAAGTGGCTCACCATCACTAAAATGGGTATGTTTACCCATTTAATCAACAAATAATTTATACTATGTGCCAATTGGTACTGTGCCAGGCCCTAAGAGTGCATAGAGGAATAAGCTTCAAAGAGCTCTAATTTCAGTGGGAAAGACAGAAAAACAAACATGCTATTTTTCTGTGATGTGCATAGACTGGCTTGGGAGCATCAAAGGGGAGCATCCAACCCAGACTAGGAGGGTCAGGGAATGCTTCCTGGATAAGGCGATGTTTAGACTGAGTTTTGGACTAAAAATAGGATAGGCAAAAGGGACAAACAGGCATCCCAGGCACATGGTTGTGCATAGATAAGAGAGTGTGGTGCTTTGGGGGAGATTCTAAGTGGTGCAGATGGTTTTCGCATAAAGGGCCTGGTGGTAAGTGGTAAACGTAAGACTGCAGACCATGTCATGGATGGCCTTATGGCCTTTCTTGGGAGCTTGAACTTGAATTACTGCTAACTTTGTAGTAGTTATGTAGACATTTAAGGATTTTCAGCAGGGAAGTGCTTAAACTAGCTTTGTACTTTAGGAAGATCATTCTAACTGCAGTCTGTAGAAAGGATTTGTGAGGGCCGACTAGAAGCAGAGAAATCCATTATGACACTCTTGTAGTTTTTCCTGTGCTAAGTGATGAGGATGTGAAAATAGAGTAGCGGCAGTGAGACAGAGGGAAAGAGATGACTGAAGAAATATTGAAAAGGTGAAAATGACGAGACTATTTCTGGTTAGGCCTGGAGGGTATAGGAATGAGAGAAGTCCAGGATGATTTCTGTTTTTCAGTCCAGGAAAACTGAGTTCGTGGTAGGATCAGGGACAATAAAGAAAAAGCAATTTATTTTATTTTATTTTATTTTTTGAGAAGGAGTCTTTTCTCTGTTGCCCAGGCTGGAGTGCAGGGGCATGATCTTGGCTCACTGCAACCTCCACTTTCCCGGTTCAAGCATTTTTCCTGCCTCAGCCTCCCAAGAAGCTGGGACTACAGGCATGTGCCACCATGCCCGGCTAATTTTTGTATTTTTAGTAGAGATGAGGTTTCACCATGTTGTCCAGGCTGATTTCCAACTGCTGACCTCAAATGATCCACCCACCTCAGCCTCCCAAAGTGCTGGGATTACAGGTGTGAGCCACCGTGCCCGGCAGGAAAAGCAAGTTTTGATAGAGGAAATGATGACTTCAGTTTTGCTACTCTTCAGTCCACTCAGGCATCTCTATCCTATGGATATCTATACAGTGATTAAAAAGAATGAGTTACATCTTTTTGTAATGATCTCTGAGACATGTTTTTAAGCAAAAAGGCAAACTACATATATAATGTAATCCAATTTATATTTAAAAATTAAATATTAGGCTGGGTGTGGTGGCTCATGCCTGTAATCCCAGCACTTTGGGAGGCTGAGGTGGGTGGATCACTTGAGGTCAAGAGTTCAAGACCAGCCTGGCTAACATGATGAAACCCCGTCTCCACTAAAAATACAAAAAATTAGCCGGGTGTGGTGGCTCACGTCTGTAATCCCAGCTACTTGGGAGGCTGAGGCAGGAGAATCGCTTGAACCCAGGAGACGGAGGTTGCAGTGAGCTGAGATTGCACCACGGCACTCCAGCCTGGGCAACAGAGCGAGACTCTGTCTCAAAAATAAATAAATAAATAAATAAATATTAGGCTGGGCGTGGTAGCAGGGCTGAGATGGGAGGATTGCTTGAGCTCAGGAGTTTGAGACCAGTCTCGGCAACATAGGGAGACCTTGTCTCTACTTTAAAAAAAAAAGAAAGAAAATGCCTGTAGTCCTAGCTAATCAGGAGGCTCAGGTGGGAGAATCGCTTGAGCCTGGGAGGTCGAGGCTGCAGTGAGCCATAATCACGCCACTGCACTCCAGCCTGGGCAATGGAGCAAGACCCTATCTCAAAAATAATAAAATGTAAATGTTGTATATAGATGTATGTAAATACATAGAAAAAACTGGAAGAATATATTTAAATAGTTAATAGTGGTTTTTTTAAATTATTCATTAGTTCAACAATTTTTTACTGGGCACCTACTATTGGTAGGTGAGACTATATTGGTGAATAAAAACAGACATTGATCTTGCCCTCATGGATCATATTTGGTCAAGGTCAGACTTTCTCAATTGGAGTTCTAAGAGATTTTTTTTTTGGAGACAAAATCTTGATCTGTTGCCCAGGCTGGAGTGCAGTGGTGTAATCATAGCTCACAGTAACCTCAAACTCCTAGGCTCATGCCGTCCTCTCACCTTAGCCTCCCAAGTAGCTAGGAATATAGGCACATGCTACCATGCCTGGCTAATTAAAAAAAAGAAATTTTGTAGAGACGAAGTCTCACTATGTTGTCTAGGCTGGTCTCAAACTCCTGGCCTCAATTGATCTTCACACCTTAGCCTCCCAAAGTGCTGGGATTACAGGTGTGAGCCACTGGGCCCAGCGAGATTTTTATTGTCAACCAAATAATCATATAAAGTGTAAATATAAAAGTGTGACTATGATAAGTACTCAAGAAGGAGAGATATGGCCGGGCGCAGTGGCTCACGCCTGTAATCCCAGCACTTTGGGAGGCCGAGGTGGGTGGATCACGAGGTCAGATTGAGACCATTCTGGCTAACACGGTGAAACCGCATCTCTCCTAAAAATACAAAAAATTAGCCAAGCATGGTAGCAGGCACCTGTAGTCCCAGCTACTTGGGAGGCTGAGACAGCAGAATGGCACGAACTCAGGAGGCGGGGCTTGCAGTGAGCCGAGATCGCGCCACTGCACTCCAGCCTGGGCGACAGAGCGAGACTCCATCTCAAAAAAAAAAAAAAAAAAAAAAAAAAAAAAAAAAAGAAGGAGCGGTACATGGTACAACAAGAATGTATAATAGTGCTATTGGACTTAATAAGGAAGGCCAGAGGAGGGTCCCTAAGAGAGTGATGCTTGAGTTGAGATTTGGAGGATAAGTAGAGGTTAAGTAAAGACAGGAGGGCTGGGTAAACAGCAGTGTAAAGACCTAGAGCAGGAGGGAATATGCCAGATATGAGTGGACCATAGAAGGCCCGTGCCGGAACATGGGAATCAAAGGGCAGCATAGCACAAGATGAAGCTGAAGAGGTAGGTAGGGTCTGAGTCTCAGAACTTTTCAAGTCCATGATAGAGGTTTTTTTTAATCCTAAGACAAGTTGAAAGCTATTGAAGATTTTTAAGCAGGGAGTGTTATGTTCATTTTTGCACTTTTAAAAGATCCCTTCAGGCCAGGAACGGTGGCTCACACCTGTAATCCCAGCACTTTGGGAGGCCGAGGCAGGTGGATCACCTGAGGTCAGGAGTTTGAGACCAGCCTGACCAACATGGTGAAGCCCCCTCTCTACTAAATACAAAAAAAATTAATGGGGTGTGGTGGCACATGCCTGTAATCCCAGCTACATGGGAGGCTGAGGCAGGAGAATCACTTGATCCTAGGAGGTGGAGGTTGCAGTGAGCCAAGATTGTGCTATTGCACTACAGCCTGGGCAACAGAGTGAGACTCTGTCTCAAAACAAAACAAAAAGTTCCCTTCAGCACCTGTGTGAAGAATTACTTGGAAGACTCAGGGTGGTCAGTTACTACATCTTTTCAGTAGCTGAAGAGAGAATTGATGATGGATTGTAGTAGGATAATGGCAGTGATAGACAAGTGGGCAGATTCTAGAGTTAGTTAATAGGTAAAATCAATACAACTTGGTTATAGATTTAGATATGGAGAGGATGAAGAATTAATGAGATGCTTGGTGGAACTCTTTGAAGGCCAGGCTAAATTTTTTATGGCTTTGATAATGAGAAATTGCAGTACGTATTTGAGTAGGGGGAGACCATGCAAAGTTAGAGCTTTACAAAGGTCATACACAGTTTGAGCTTAACAAAGATCACTCTGTTAGCAGCATGGGGAATACACTGGAGGTGAATTAGACTGTAGGCTGTTGCAGTGGTCCCAGTGACATGACTAAGGCTGAACTAAACCAAAGCATTCCCAATGGGAACAGAGAGGGGTTGAGAAGATAAAATATCGACTGGAGGATGAGAGAATAGATAAGAGAGCATTGAAAGCTGTATGGTTTTGGGACAAGGGAGGAGAGTGAAGATGACCAAGAACACTCTCTTCCTTTTTTCTGCAGGACTGTGGCTCACTCCCATGACACCAACCTCAGTCAGCAGTTCAGCTCTCACCTGTCTCTGGGGCAGCACCGTGCCCTGCTGTGGTAGAAGAAACCTTGGGAGCTAGCATGGTCCTCTTGCTGCCATTGACAGGTAACATTCTTCAGGTCCAAGGTAAAGCATTGCAGTCCAATTGCCACTAAAGTCAAAGGAGTAAGTCCCATCAGGGTCCGTGTGCCCCTACTGTACAGGGTGTTCGGATCATTTCTACACATACAACTTAGAACATGGACTCCTATTCTCTCTTCTTTCCCTGAACATAGTTCATCCTGTCCAATGGCAAGTTCGAGATCATCAGGGAGGACCATGGTTCCCAGAGCTTCAGATCCAGCCCAGGCTTCCCTAGGGCTCTTCTTTTATCTCCTCCCCATCTCCCTATTCCTTTGTTGACTCACCTGCATCTCCAGGCAGGTCCACAGTCACAGGGAGGGACCAGGATCCCCAGGAGCCACCGAGGGAGATCCCATCAGGTTCACTGCGCAGCTGCAGCCAGTAGGAGTTGCCAGGCTGGAGTCCTGAGATGAGGCAGCTTCCACCCACTGCTGTCAGAGCTGAAGCCTTGGGAGGAAAATCCCAGCTTCACAATCTAGGTCTGCCTGTCAGCTGAGACAGCCTCCAACCCTTATATTTGCACACCATCCCTGTGGAGAGGAGCTCAGCTCCTTGCTGGATAGATATGCACACAGACCAGGGGCCAAGTTGGTGGGTTTCAGGTGGTGTTCAGGGTTTTGTTGGGAAATCTCCATTAATTTGGAGGCCTAAAAGACTTTACTTTTATCAGTGGGAATGACCCAAGGTAGGAAGCCCCTAAGTAGACATGGCTTATATCTGAGCCTATACTAACTCTCCAAGGACAAACCCAGGTCTGGAATCCCCAAAGTATGGTCTGTCCTTTCCTGGAGCAAGATTGAAGGTAGGAGATAGGAGGTGAGGCAGAAGAAGGTCAGCATACTTCTCTAGTTGGGGAGGTCTGCTTTGGTCCATCTTGCCAGGGCATTGTGGGCTGAGCACATGGAGACTGGTCCAGAGCAGAGGCTGAGTGTGGCCTCTGCAGAGCAGGGCAGCAGGTTTCTGTGGCGATCAACTGTATGACCGTGGGACCAGTGGAGTTCTTGAGATCTTTGGCGCCATAGCGGAGTTCGTACCTCAGGAAATCACTGATTTCTGGAGCTGGGGCCTCCCAGCTGATCTGAAGTTCCCCTGGCTGGCTCCCACCCATGGCCTTGATGATACTGGGGGGAGCCGGCAGGCCTGAGGGCAAGACAGGGCACATCAGAACTCTGAGTACCACAGTCTATGGCTCAGCCTCTGGACTGCAGAGAGGGGTGCTGGGGGCTGAATTGGGGCAGCTTCTGGATTCAAAAATTGTAGGCTGTCATTCTCCTGGAGGGCAGGCTAGGGAGGCTCCTGATTCTGTTCTTCCCTCATGAGAACAGTGACTTCATTGCAGTATGATGGCTAGCTAGACTCAGTGCTTCTTGGAAGCAGGGATCCTGTTTTCTCCATATCCCATCACCTAGCCCAGTGTCTGGCACACAGTAGGTATTCTGGCACTCTTGAATGGATGAATAAATGATGTGTTAATGATGGGAGGACCAGGGTGTCCCTGGTGTGAAATGATATGTGGGGCAGTTCTAGCTCTAGATGCCAAGGCTGGGAGGAATGACAAGGGAGTCTTGGGGTGCCTCGGGGGTCTGTTAATCGGGGTATCTGTGCTGAGCTGGAAGGGCACAGATAAGTCTGATTCCAGGAGCTGGACTGGGGGCAGCAAGTGGAGGCGCCAGGTGACAGGAGGATGGATGGCTCTTACCTACACTGTCCACAAAGAGGACTCGCTGAATCTGAGTCTGGTTTAGGAACACATTCTTCACCCAGAGGTGCAGCGGAAAGAAGAGACGCACTTCTTCCTGGGCTGGAAACTGGCACACGTATCGGGTTCCAAAGCGGGGCACGCTCTGAGAACTCAGGGGGCAGGCACGGGGCTTCTCCCTGTTGGCATAGCAGAGATCCCTCCTACACAGCCACCAGGCAGAGCCCTGAGGACCCAGACCTGGGCTCATGCCCAACTTTTGTCTCTAGTACTGCCATTTTTCTTCTTAATGCCTGGGATAGGTGGGATTAGGGGTTATGTAGGGCTGGAGTTGGGGCCCACATACATCCAAAGCACATCTGTTCAAAAACTGGGTACTTAGGGCTTGTATTCAGAGTGATCCTCGGACGGGCAGGAAAGCTGCTGGAGTGGGACTCAGCTAAATGCAGGGACAGATACATATATGGGGAGTGGGGCACAGTCCAGCACCTACCCCGGGTAGGCATACAGCAGCTGGTATGTCCCACTGGGTGCTGCCTCCTCCTCATCCCAGAAGCAAGTGAGGTCCTCAAATGTTCGGGAGAAACACTTCAGGGGCTCTGAGTCCGAGGCCAGCAAGGAGACATCTAAGGAACAGCTGGTGAGTTGCCCTGGGTCCTCCCAGGCATGTTTACGTGGAAGAGGAGGGGACCAGCAGGAGAGCCTCTTACTCTACCTCCCCTCCCAGGGCCTTGCATCACCTCCCAGGGCCCTGCATCACCTCCCAGGGCTCCCTCTTCCTGGGCATAGGTGATCTCCACCCTCCGTGCACCTCACCTTGGCTGCTGACTTGGGCCAGGTTTTGAGGGGCCAGGAGGAGGCAGGAGGTGACCATAAAGAGGGCCCAGGAGGGCATCTTCTCCGCCACTGTGTGCCTGCCTTAGCCCATCCTCCCTTCAGGAAGCCGGGCCCCAATCCCCTCCCAGGCCAGCCCCTCAGGTTCCTGTCAGATACAGCCCCACGTCCTGTCCCTGTCCCTGCCCCTCTGGGGCCCATCCAGACCACACTGGGGCCAGGGGCCAGGGGAGGGAGAGTGGGCAGGAGGGAAGGAGGAATTTGAAAGAGAGGACACAGGCCTTTTGGTGGGAGGGAGATGGGGGTTGTATATTTGACCGTGTACCAAAAGGCAAGTCAGTCTCTGTATCTATGTTAATGATTATAGAATGGTATAACAGCATCAGAATAGCAGCCTTTACTGAGTACTAACTATGCTGCCATGTGTTAAGCACTTTATATCCATTCACTTAGACAGTCCTAACAATAGTCTTGTTATTTCTATTACAGAGATGAGGAAACAGAGATGTAGAGAAGTTAAGGATTTGCCCAAGATTACATATGTACTAAGACATGAAGCTCAAGAGGTCAACCTTCAGAACCCATGTGAGTAACAACCATGCTGTGCTATGCTCTTAGGAGGCTAATGTGCTGAGAAATGACTGTCTGCTCCACAACATGCCAAATGGTGGGTATTTCCACTTTAATAGTTCTGTGACTTTTTGCATGAATAAACACATTCTCTCTGGAAATGGACATGCCCTTTCCGTTATGGGCGGCCTCCACGGCTGCCTCTAATCCCTTGCTACTCAAAGTGTGGTCTGTAGACCAGGAGCATTAGGTGGACACTTATTAGAAATGCAGAATATTAGGCCCCGCCCCAGGCCTGTTAAAATAGAACCTGCATTTTACCAAAATCCCCAGATGGTTTGAATGTAACTTAAAGTTGGAGAAGCAATCGTCTTCAATACTTTTATCCTGTTTGCTCAGAACCAGTGGGTCAGGCTGGGTGCAGTGGCTCACACTTGTAATACCAGCACTTTGGAAGGTCAAGCTGGGTGGATCATCTGAGGTCAGGAGTTTGAGACCAGCCTGGCCAGTATGGTGAAACCCCATCTCTACTAAAAATACAAAAAAATTAGCCAGGCGTGGTAGTGCTTGTCTGTAGTCCCAGCTACTCAGAAGACTGAGGCATGAGAATCTCTTAAACTCAGGGGGCAGAGGTTGCAGTGACCCAAGATTGCACCACTGCACTCCAGCCTGGGTGACAGGGCAAGACTGTCTCAAAAAAAAAAAAAAAGAAAAATTCAGTGGATGGCTGGTCTCAGCTCTTCAGCCTGTGCTCATCTCCTGTCACTGAACCCCAAGCCTTCTCCTGGGACTGCTCTGTATATGGATTTTATGCCAATTCTAGGAGCCTTGACTCTTGTGTGGGTGGGGGTGGGGACAGGAGGTGAGTTGTGGGGAGGGCGCATAGCCACATTAACTCCCATTTTTCGCCCCTCAGGCCTTAGCTGGGGCTCCCATTGCTGGCTTTACAGACTAAGTATCCTCAATATCACCTTCCTGTCTTCTTCCTTCTTAATTAATTTTACTAACAGAATTATGGGAGGTGCTGGAGGAGATGGAACTCCTTCAGTCCTCCTGTGAAGTCTTAGTTTCTCTGGCACCATTTCTCTGCAAGCAGTCCCTGACTCAGATTTGTCTTTACCTGTACCTGGCTCTCACATTATGAGGACTGATGGTAATGACATTGGATGCCTTCCCCAGTCCCCAGGCAAGGGCTACCCAAACTTCTGTGAGATCAAGTGAGAGGGGAAACACAACTTGAGTGTTCATGCAGTCCCATGGCTTTGATGCTCTGTATATGCTGATGACTTCAAAATGATATCTCTAGCTGTGACTTCTTCCCTGGGCTCCAGATTTGGATCGCCAACTGCCTACTTGACTTCCCCACTTGCATATCTAAAAGCATCTTATACTTTTAAAAATTTTTTGTAGACAGAGTTTTGCTCTTGTTGCCCAGGCTGGAGTGCAATGGTGCAATCTCAGCTCGCTGCAACCTCTGCCTCCTGGGTTCAAGCAATTCTCTTGCCTCAGCCTCCCAAGTAGCTGGGATTACAGGCGCCCACTACCACGCCTGGCTAATTTTTGTATTTTTAGTAGAGACAGGGTTTCGCCATGTTGACCAGGGTGGTCTCGAACTCCTGACCTCAGGTGATCCACCTGCCTTAGCCTCCCAAAGTGCTGGGATTACAGGTGGGAGCCACCACGCCCGGCAAGCATCTTATACTTAAGGTGGTCAAAATAAAACTCTGGATTCTCATTCCCACCTCTAACCCTGTTTATTTGGTTTTCCTCTAGCCTTGCCTACCTCTGTAAATAGCATTACCACCTACTTAGTTGCTTGAACCAACACCCTCCATACTCGTTGATCCCTGTCTCTCTCTTACTCTGCATTCTACATCCAATTAATTAGCAAGTCCTGTCAGACCTTCCTTCAAAATGTATACTGAATCTGAACACATTTAACCACCTCCACCCTTACTGTCCTAGTCCAACTCTGGGTTACTATAATAGCTTCCTAACTGGTGTCCCACCTCCATTCCCACCCTCACCCCCCAGGCTGTCCTCCACACAACACTGTGATATGTTTAAAATGCACATCGGATTTCTTCACTCCCCTCTTAAAATCCTCCAAAGATTTCCCACTTAGAATACCACTCAAATGCCTTCTGATGGCATGCCTGGCCCTGCCTGACCTGGCCCCTGCCTACTTGAATCTTATCTCCTACTTTCTTTCTTCCCTCTCAGCCAGCCACAATCATCTCACTGTGTCTCTCATCTTAATCCTCTTCGTATTCAACCTTTCTGCAACACTTGATAATCTTCATCCTTCCAATGTCACATTCTCCTGGTTTCCTGCTACCTCCTATCACATCCCCACTCAGTTTCCTTCTGTGGTTGCTCTTTCTCTTAAATCTTGCTGCCTCCAGGTGTCCCTGCTCAGCCCTTTCTATTGCCAGAGTGATCGCATGGCTTCAACTCTGTCTACACACTGGTAACTTGCAAGATCTCATCAGTCTCTCGAACTTCAGATTCTCAATTGGACATCTCTATTTGTTGTCCCATAGGCACTTCAAACTCCCCAAGCCCCAAATATAACTAACTCCCATACACCCTTTGGGTCCTCTCTTCAAGCTCTGTTCTGCATCTCTCATGGGCTACCTAGGCTCCTAAGCCTGGAACCTGAGAGTTATCCTCAAACCTTCCTTCTCCCTCTACACCTACATCTAAGTCCTGTGTCTTCTACAGGGAGGCGGTATAATAGCAGTTAAAGGTGCAGAGACTGCAAGGGGCTTGTGTATGACTGTCAGAAAGGGGCTTTCTGAGAGTTGAGAAAGGGGCTCTCTGCCTCTGCATGGGAGGAGGTCCACTCTCTATCCCTGTCATTTTCCCATTTTCTTTTGCTTCCACACAGCTGAAAAAAGTAGTCTTCTCCAGGCCTTGATTCCTTCCTTCCTTCCCTTCCTCCCTCCCTCCCTCCCTCCCTCCCTCCCTCCCTTCCTTCCTTCTCCCCCCCTTTTCTTTTTTTGATGGAGTCTAGCTCTCTCGCCCAGACTGGAGGGCAATAGCACGGTCTCCACTCACTGCAACTTCCGCCTCCCAGGTTCAAGCAATTCTCCTGTCTCAGCCTCCTGAGTAGCTGGGATTACAGGCGCCTGCCACCATGCCTGGCTAATTTTTGTATTTTTAGTAGAGATGGGGTGTCACCATGTTGGCCAGGCTGGTCTCGAACTGTTGACCTCATGATCCACCTGCCTTGGCCTCCCAAAGTGCTGGGATTACAGGCGTGAGCCACCACACCTGGCCCAGGCCTTGATTTCTTTAGAAAATCAAGCAGGAACTGGGATATCTAGGAGAAAGGAGGCCATATAGGTCTGCCTGCTTTGGTGAAGGAGTTCTGCAGGCTCTTGAAAGTCCAATGCTGCTCAGCAGGCCTAGGCTTTCCTTATGGGATATAAGGCCAAAGACCTGGCTTATAAAACTGGTACTTGATCTCTGGGTAGCTATCGTTCAGAGAACTCAAGGGGTTGCTGGATGAGGATTGGCTCAGGCTATAGTGTGCTGACAAACTGACTGGGGTGGGGTAGGGTGTTCTGTTTGGTAACATTTGCTGCTTTTTGTGGTGTAAATACTTCTGTCATGGCCTGTTTCAAGCTACTAACATGATGTCACTGAGCAGTGAGCTGGGAAGATAACTGGCTCTTGGCTCTCGTGAGCCTGTGCCTGTGCACTTGCCCTTTATCTCCCCATGTTTTCAGATTTCCCAACACCTGCTGGGTTTTTTCCAGTTAGAAAATTAGGGACAGGTAGCTTTAGGCACTAGGATTCTCTATCGCCTCATCTCTTTCTCAACATTGCTAGTTGTCTCTCTAGAACGATGGTTCCGGCCGGGCACGGTGACTCACGCCTGTAATCCCAGCACTTTGGGAGGCCGAGGCGGGCGGATCACCTGAGGTCAGGAGTTCAAGACCAGTCTGACCAACATGGAGAAACCCCATCTCTACTAAAAATACAAAATTAGCCGGGCGTGGTGGCACATGTCTGTAATCCCAGCTACTCAGGAGGCTGAGGCAGGAGAATCGCTTGAACCCGAGAGGCGGAGGTTGCGGTGAGCTGAGTTTGTGCCATTGCACTCCAGCCTGGGCAACAAGAGTGAAACTCCATCTCAAAATAAACAAACACATAAATAAATAAATAAATAAATAAACAAATGATGATGATTCCATTTATACACTTAGCAGCGTGTTAGGGTGCTGTATTTCCCCCACATCTTTGTCAACTTTTTTGTTTGTTTGTTTTTGTTTTGACAGTCTTAACTCTGTCGCCCAGGCAGGAGTGCAGTGTGCGACACACAGCCCCTGGGAGGAGCCTGAGCTGCCTGCAGGAAATCACCCCTTCCTTGGGGGCGGGAGGGGAATGAATGACTCAGGGCCAACTGGTGGGAGTTCTGTTTTTGTGGTCAGGATGGGCTGTAGGGAGGTTCCTGGGATGAAGTACTCACTGGGTTCGCCTTTCCCAGCTGCCTCCTAATGAGGCTTTTCCTCTGACCTTTTCCATTCTATACCTGAAAACAAGTTTGTGCTACTGGTCTGGTCTTTTGCTCCAAGCCCCACCCAACCCAGGCCATCTCCTGTGAGAATATGGCTGTTGAGTGAAGCAGTGAGAACTGAGGCTATAACAGGTGCGGGCAGGCGAGGCTGAGCATTTAGGACTGTGCTCTGGACCTGCAGTTTGCTGACTTGCGTGTATTGGGGTTCTGGGTCTTCAGTGCTACAGTGGGAATGGGGAGACCTTCTGTTGGGGGAGGATATCTTTGGGGCCCACAACCTGGAACGTGGTGTGTGATTGATATATTTGTGGTGAATTTGGAAGTGTACTATACCCAAATCTGGCCCTTTCACTGTGCCAGAGAAGCAGCATAGTACTGTGGCTAAGAGAGGGAGCAAGAATATCCAGGTTTAAATATCAGCTCTTGGCCAGGTGCAGTGGCCCACGCCTGTAATCCCAGCACTTTGAGAGGCTTGAGGCAGGAGGATCACTTGAGCCCAGGAGTTTGAGACCAGCCTGGGTAACAAAGGGAGACACCCCTCTCTACAAAAAAATTAAAAAAAAAAAAATAGCTGAGCATGGTGGTGCATGCCTGTAGTCCCATCTACTTGGGAGGCTGAGATAAGAGGATTGCTTGAGCCCAGGAGGTTGAGGCTGCAGTGAGCTATGATTGAATCACTGCACTCCAGCCTGGGAGACTAAGCGAGATCCTGTCTTAAAACAAGAACAACAAAAACATCCACAAAAAATCGCTCTGCCCCTTACTAGCTATCAGATTTTAGCCAAGTTACTAGCCTCTCTGGTCCTGTTCTCTGTAAAATGAGAATAATAATGGTACCTACTAATAGGGTTGTTGAAGACTGAATGAATTAATACATGCAAAATGCTTGGAATGGTGCCCAGCAATTAAGTACTATGTAACTATTAGCTGTTTTTATTCTTTTAGTGACTGGTATCACCACCCACCCATCATATAAACAGAAGCTTGGCAGCGATCCTAGACTCTTCTCCTTTCAGTCCCATATTCAACCCCTGTCCATTCTTTCTTCGTGTTATTTCTTCCAGTTTGCTACCACCACACCATTGTTTCACTCACACTACTATATATAGTGGTCTTTCACTGATCTCCTTGCCTTCACTTAAAAAATAAACCCAGCTTGGCCAGGCGCGGTGGCTCTTGCCTGTAATCCCAGCACTTTGGGAGGCCAAGGCGGGCAGATCACAAGGTCAGGAGATAGAGACCATCCTAGCTAACACAGCAAAATCCTGTCTCTACTAAAAAAAAAAAAAAAAAAAAAAAATTAGCCAGGCATGGTGGTGGGTGTCTGTAGTCCCAGCTACTTGGGAGACTGAGGCAGGAGAATGGTGTGAACCCGGGAGGTGGAGCTTGCAGTGAGCCAAGATCGCACCACTGCACTCCAGCCTGGGCGACAGAGCGAGACTCCATCTCAAAAAAACAAATGAATGAACAAACAAAAAACAACCCAGCTTTATTGGGATATATAATTCACACACCGTACAACTCACCCATTTAAAGTGTACAGATCAGTGGTTTTTAGTATATTCACAGATATGTGCTACCACAGTCAAGTTTAGATCATTTTTATCACCTCAAAAAGAAATCCTGTACCTTTTACACTCATCCTTTTATCTCCCCAACTTCCTTCTAGTCCTAAGCAACCACTAATCTACTTTCTACCTCTATAGATTTGCCTAGTATGGAAATTTCACATAAATGGAATACGACTACCATATGTTGTCTTTTGTGACTGGCTTCTTTCACTTAGCGTGGTATTTTCAATGTTCATTTACAATATAGCATGCATTAGTATTTCATTCACCGCCCCCCACTCTTTTTTTCTGAGACTGATTCTCACTCCATCGCCTAGGCTGGAGTACAGTGGCACGATCACAGTTCACTGCAGCCTTGACCTCCCAGGCTCAGGTGATCCACTCACCTGAGCTTCCTGAGTAGCTGGGACTACAGGCATGCACCATCACTCCTGGCAAATTTTTGTATTTTTTGTAGAGATAGGGTTTTGCCATGTTGCTCAGGCTGGTCTTGACCTCCTGGGCTTAAGCGATCTGCCTGCCTCAGCCTCCTAAAGTGCTGGGGTTACAGGTACAAGCCATCATGCCCAGCCTTCATTCCCTTTTAATGGCTGAATAATATTCCACTGTATGGATATACCATATACCATTTATCCATTCATCAGATGATGAACATTTGAGTTGTTTCTACTTTTTGGCTATTATGAATAATATTGCTATAAACATCCGTGTACATATTTTTGTGTGCACATACATTCTCATTTCTCTTGGGCATATGTGCCTAGGAGTGGAATTTCTGGGTCTTCTGAGAACTCTATGTGTAGAGTTTCCACATGTTTAAGGAACTGCCAGACTGGTTTCCAAAGAGGCTGCACAATTTTACATTCCCACCAACAGTGTATGATGGTTCCATTTTCTTCCTTGCCAACACTTGTTATGTTTTTCATTATAGCCATCTTAGTGTGTATGAAGTAGTATCTCACATTGGTTTTGACTTGCATTTCCTGATGACTCCTCATGTTGAACATCTTTTTCATGTGCTTATTGGCCATTTGTTTTTCTTTTTTGGAGAAAGGTCTATTCAGATCCTTTGTCCATTAAAAGATACTGGGTTATCTGCCACTTTACTATTGAGTTATAAGACTTCTTTATATTAATATATTCTAGATACAAGTCTCTTACAGGATATGTGACTTGCAAATGTTTTCTTCTATTCTGTGGTTTTCACTTTCCTGATAGTGTCCTTTGATGCACAAAAGTTTTCAATTTTGATGAATTCTAACTTATGTATTTTTGATTTTGTTACCTGTACCTTTGCTGTTACATCTAAAAATCCACTGCCAAATCTGAGGTAATTATGATTTACTTCTATGCTTTCTTTAAGGGCTTTATAATTTTGGTTCTAATATTTAGGTCTTTGACCCACTTTGAGTTAATTTTTGTATGTGGTGTTTGGGTAGGAGTCCAAATTCATTCTTTTGCATGTAGCTATCCAGTTGTCCCCACACCATTTGTTGAAGACTATTCTTTCCCCGTTAAATGGCCTTGGCACCTCTGTTGAAAATCAGTTGACCACAGACACATGGGTTTAGTTCTGCACTCTCAATTCTGTTCCATTGATCTCATATGTTTGTATCTAAAAAAAGATACAAAAATTAGCCAGGCATGGTGGCGGGCACCTGTAGTCCCAGCTACTGGGGAGGCTGAGGCAGGAGAATAGAGTGAACCCGGGAGGTGAAGCTTGCAGTGAGTCGAGATTGCGCCACTGCACTCCAGCCTGGGCCACAGAACGAGACTGTCTCAAAAAAAAAAAAAAAAAGTTTGCCAAAAAAAAAATTTGTATACTTTAATGTTTGTTTCCTGTGTAAGTCTGAAGATCCAGCGAGGTAGAGGCCATGTCTATATATTGTTTCTTTTTTCTTTTTCTTTTTTTTTTGAGACAGAGTCTCGTTCTGTGGCCCAGGCTGGAGTGCAGTGGCGCTATCTCGGCTCAATGCAAGCTCCACCTCCTGGGTTCACGCCATTCTCCTGCCTCAGCCTCCCGAGTAGCTGGGACTACAGGTGCCCGCCAACTCGCCCAACTAATTTTTTGCATTTTTAGTAGAGATGGGGTTTCACCATATTAGCCAGGATGGTCTCCATCTTCTGACCTCGTGATCTGCCCGCCTCAGCCTCCCAAAGTGCTGGGATTACAGGCATGAGCCACCGCGCCCGGCCAATTTCTGTCTCTTGGGTTTAACTACACCCCTCACCCCAAGATTGACCAGCAGTAAAAGGTAGACATTGAATGGAGCTTATTAGAACATTTATTTTTTTCTGAATGACAGGCCGGGAGTGGGAGTAGCTGAACAGGGCATGTTAGTGGTATGAGTGCTGGCTTAAGCAGAGGAGCTGGAGTGGGGGTTTGTGTTGGGGAAGGAGTGGGATGGGAAGCACACCTGTGGGGCAGCTGAACTAGAAGGAAGGATGCCCAGGATAGCTATGAGACACCTACAAAGCATGAGGACCCAGTTCCCCTAAGCCCACCCCATCCCCAAATCCCTTTTTTTCTCCCTTAAGTTAAAAAAATTCATTGAGGCAGCTTAAGTCAGAGGCTGTAAGGGTCAGACTGGTCACAGGTTAGACAGCAGAGTTTGCTCCGGCCAGCAGAGCCAGGTTCTGGCTGGATGGCAGCTCAGGCCTCCTCAGCTGTGGCATCAATGCCCGCGTAAGTGAAGTTCTCAAACAGCGACATGTTCACATAGGCCTGGGGGCAGAGCAAGCTTTAGTGGGGGCCAGGAATAGGGATGAATCTGGACGCAAGCTCTTTGACTTCCATGTGGTTGGGGCATTTGAACTGACACTGATTTGTTCTGGAGACTCAAGATGGCCCCATGGCCAAGAGTGGCCTTTACCAGCCCAGGGCAGTGAAGGCATCAGGCCACAGCTGGGGCCTCAGGTGAGAGGACCTCAATGCCACTGTTAGAGGAAGGTTTTTACATGCACTCTTTCAGTGAATTCTTGGCTTATGCATTCATTCATTAAGTAACTTATCTGTTCAAAAGCCATTTTAGATGACTCACCCATTTATATGGTTATTTGATCATTCCCTCATTCTTAAGATGGTTAATCATTAATTTACTTGAAGAACTCTTCATATTTACTAATTTTGATATATTTTTCATTATATTTATTTGATAATTCACTTATTCACATGGTTAGTAGATTCAGTTAATGAATTACATGTTTATATGATTATTGTATCATCTATCCACTAATTCCATTCATTCATTCATTCATACAGTTACTGTATCACTCATTTACCCATCCATCCATTTGGTTAGTGATCATTCATGCACTCTGCTCTGGCTCTGGCAGGTGGGGAGAGGTGTCCCAGATGAGAATGGGCTGATGGCCTCAGCAGAGGACAGGCAAGCAGTCTGGGACTTGGGACTCAAGGGAGGGATTTGCTGTTGGGGCTAAGCAGTGGCCTTGAAAGAGTTTTGGAAGGGCCTGGTGTCTAACCCAGTGAGGGCTGGAAAGGCAGGCTGCATCCTGGGGCCCAGCCTAGCTGTGGTGACAGCCCCCAGTGAGGGAGTTTGGGCAGGTAGTGTGGTTGGGACAGGGTCACGACACCTCTGAGAGGGCACTCTGGAGCACTCTGTGAGCCCAACCCGCCACCTCAGCCCCAGTCTCCTCACCTTCCTGGCTTCCAGCATGCGGCCTAGCTGCAGCGCAATCTGGGCAAAGGGGGGTCGCTCATAGGGACGGTCCCGCCAGCACTGACGCATCAGCTCGTACCTGCGAGGGGGCATTGCTGAGATGAGGAGTCAGGCCAGCTGGGGTGATGGGGTCACAGGGATCAAAGCTGAGGTCACTCATCACAGAGATAGGGTCATGGAGCTCAAGGATGGGGTGACTCACACTTCGTCGTCACAGTTTCGAGGCTGCTCCATGCGGTAGCCCTGGGGCAGCTTTTCGTAGAGC